TTTTTTTTTTTTACTATTTTCTCACTGTTAGAATAATTGCTCAAATTTGTTAAACACTTACCTTGTGCTTGACTTTCTGCTAAGTGCTTGGGAAAATTGTCTTCTCTTATTTGCCTCTGCCATCCTATGAGGTAGATATTTTGCGTCATGAATGAGGAAATCGAGTTTTTAAGCAATTCATTAGACTTTTCCAAGGTGTCCAGTAAGTGACAAAACAGAGATTCAGACTTATTCTATCTGATTTCAGGGCTGGAGATGTTCTGATATATGTGCTCTGTATCAAAACTGTCTTTAAATTTAGGACTTAGAAAGGTGGAAGAGGGAAACAAATCCTTTGATTAAAAAAACAACCCACAGGACGTCCAGGAGCCTGCCTCTCACGATTTTATTTAATTTATTCAAGACATAGCTATGGGTAATGTCCTGTGCGGCAGGTGTTGTTTTAGGTATGGGAAACAGCAGTGAGCAAAATGGACAGAAATCCCTGTCCTAATGGAATATGCCTCCTAGAGGAAAGGAAAGAAAATGCAAATAAATAAAATATGTAGTGTAGTGGATGTTACTTATTGATCTGTAAAGTGGCTAATACGTCAGATGGAATTTATGAGTGCTGTAGAGAAACAAAGCAGAAAGGAATCCAAGTTCCAGAGTGTGGTGGTAGGGTGTTGGGGTTTTACTGAGGATGGCCAGGAAAGGCGTCCCCGAAAAAGTGACATTTGAACAAGAACTTCAAGCTAGTGAAGAAATGAATATCTAGGAGAACATTCTAGGTGGAAATAGAGCAAGTGTGAAGATCCTGAAACAGCACCATTCTGGTAGGTTAGAGGAAGAATAAAGGGACCACAGGGGCCAGAGCAGAGCGAGTGTATCAGCAAGTTTGAGATGGTAAGAGACATAGCAGAAGATAAAGGTGTGGCCAAGACATCCAAGGTTGGGAGGGTGGGCGTACGACCTTTGTCTGATTTTTACTCTGAGTCAATTGGGAAATCTCTTGGGTTAAATGGTAGAGTGACAGGATCACATCTATTTTTTAAAAGTATCCCCTGGAGTTTCCGTGTTAATGCATGGACTGTAGGGAGCAAAGATGGGAGGGGAAAACCAATTAAGGGATTCATAAAATGATCAATACCATGTAGTCCACAGGGAATTGTGTTCTTAACTCAAACAAAAACGGTGTCTCGTTGGCGGTTTGAAGCCCCCAAGGGCTTGGTGGAAGAAAGACGAGCAGTCTCTTGCTGTGTGATTCACAGCCTCAGAAAACTGTTGCCGGGTCAGGTATGAGTCAGTTCGTGGGAAGCTGTACTAAGAAAATGAAAATAGATATTTTGTTCTAATTGGTTTCTTGCTTTCTACTTGTGGGACAGAAGCCCATACTGAGACCTCCCTACATTAAATCCTTTCAACAAGCCTGCACCTATAATGTGATCAAATACAAGACCGTCCAGCTGCCGGACTGTGCTCCCGGAGTGGATCCCAACTTCACCTACCCGGTGGCTGTCAGCTGTACCTGTTCTAAGGGCTGCAATATGGACAGCACGGAGTGTGAAAGCATCTGAAGCTGGTGAGGTCCGCAGTACACAGCAGGGCAGCCCTGAGCCTCATGGACTCACCTACACAGGCAGCACAAGCAGCTAACCCCCAGGATTCAAGGACTGTTTTATCTTGAGCTCACCTGTGGAGCGGATTACCTGTCTCTTTTAGGTGCAGCAAGTGCAACAACCTCCTTATGCTAAAGATGCAAAACAATACGAGTGCTTTCATCAAAATAACTGATCTTTTCATACATCTTCAAATTCACTTTCCTTTGCCTTGAGTCTTGGAATATCATTTGTATATGACAGTCTAGCACAATTGGAAATGGGATCTTTACATTCTCATGTCCTATTTAAACCAGCTTCCAGCTGAATTCTGTGGTCCAAAAAGAGTCCAATTGCAAGTGAGTGAAAATACTCCTTCCCGTTTTAACTGTGCAATGATTGGTACGGAGCATAGTACTGCTCAGATTAACAAAGGGAGGCTAACAGGAGCTCAGATTTGGAGATGTCTGGATTTGTGATTCTTCTTCCAAGCAAAAGGTCCTAAATTCCCTATAAGATCTTTAAAAAATAGATCCCTTTGGAATTTCAAAAAGAAAAAAAAAACCCAACAAAAACTGCCCCCAAATAAAATGTATTTGAGCTATCAATTAGGCTTAAAAATATACAGAAATAAACTCATGTTTTTAGAGTGTGATATTCTCCCAAAGTTAGCTCCACAGTGGTTAGTCACAAGTATTTGTACCTTCTTAGCATATTTTAAATGTAAACAGAAATGTATTAAACTCAGAAAATGTCCTGTTGGTGGGGGTAAGACAGTACTGCTGCCTGGGAGGGAAAAGTTCCTGATTCTCCAGCTCTTGTCCTCATTAAATCTTACAGCAACTGATTCTCTGTGACTTTTTTTTTTAAAACCCCTTTAATGTTGTGCAAATGTCTTTAATTCTGACATGGGTGTGGGGACGTTTGAATCTGCCCTCTTTTCTTTCTTATAATATGCCTAGAAAATCTATATGAAAGCCAATAAAGCACATTCTCTGCCTTTTGAAGTCATAAAACTCTTGAAAAGTCTTTTTATTCACTAATACATTTAAAACAGTAAGAAACACACTTGAGATGAACCACAAGTTTGTATTTAGCATTAGCTATTAGTTTAGGATGCCAGTTTACAATGCCATGTTTGATAAGAGACTTTGGATAGTGGATAGTGTGAGCCCCATAGATGGTCGGTTGCATAGATACATATACATATAGACAGATGTAGAGGGGAGCAGTTCTCTTTGCATGAAGAATCAATGTGTCTTTGAACAGAACAGCAAAGTAAATTTTTATATTGACGGTCAAACATAGGGAGGCTGGGTGACTGTCTGAGACCAAAGCATATTAGGACATGAACAAATACCATTCTGAATCTTCAGTGCAAAGAAGGAAGTCACGCTTATAGAAAAAGAAGGTGAGTGCCAGGGGATCTTTCCTAGAATTGTAGGTGATGCTTAGGGATAATACTTAGTAGGGTCACTCAAGGCATTTCCAACTCATCCCTAACACCCCCTTAGAGTTTTATGAGAGAAAGAGTGGTTTCTTAAGAAAACTTAGAAAAAGCTGATGTAATAACAATGTGACACAATTGGACAGTAGATGACCACAGTATCAATAGAGGTCCCAACAAGAAACACACGCCACCCTTCAATGGGGTAGTGAGGAGAGTTTAATGGAGAGGTCATTTCCAAATGTGTGTGCAGGGTTAAGAAAACCTAAAAGGGGTGGTGAAACATCTCTTGAAGTAATGGAAAACCCTACGAGTCAAGACCAAAAGAGCAAAGGGCATGATTTACCCAAGAGAAGGATACCTGGCAGGAGCTGTGTGGTCTTTGGTAGGATAATATAATTATTACCAACGTAAAACTCGAGTGGGAGCAAATGCACGTCTCTCTTCTCATCTCATGACCACTGGCTGAATCAAATGAGAAGGTAGAAAGTGAAGTCTTGTAGATTTAGTCATAAATGTTTCTGGGAAATAATTTGACAAAGAAAGGAAAAGAAATCTAATGGTACAGATGAATAAATACAGCTGTATTTTTGAGCAGTTAGCCAGCATGCAGTAGGCAGCAATGGTGGATTTGAGAGCAATACTGTTAGTATTATTGCTGTTAGGTATTGTCGAGTAGAGTACAACTTATAGCGACCCTATGAACAACAGATCTGAACCCAGTCCTATCCTGTGCAATTTTTACACTTTCTGACACACTAGAGCCTACTGTGGCAGTCATCATGTTAATCATCCCGGTCGATGGCCTTCCTCTCCTTTGTCGACCTTCCACCCTTCTCAATATCATGTCCCTCCTAGCATAATGCCCAAAGCATGTGAGGTGAAACCTCATCATTTTTGCCTCAAAGAGCACTCCGGACACATACGCTCTAAGACATATTTGTTTGTTCTTCTGGCTGCCCGTGGGATGGCCAGTATTCTTTTCCAACACCACAGCTCAAAGCATCATTTTTTTTGGTCATCCTTATTCATTGTCCAGCTTTCAGATGCATAGCAAGTGATCAGAAAGACCATGGCCTGAATCAGATGTACCTAAGTCCTCAAACTTACATCATTACTCTTCAATAGTTTGGAGAGGTCCCTACCTACAAATTTTCCCAGTGCAATATTGTTGTTGTTATGTGCCATGAATTCACCTGTAACGCATAGCAATCCTATGTACAACAGCTTTGAAGCCTGCGCTGTCCCGAGCCAGTATCACTGGCTCAAACACACCTACTTCCATTGCCCTAGTTACAATATCAATCCATCTCATCCAGGATCTTCCTTTCCTATGCTGTCCCTCCACCCTTACAAGCATGATGTCCTTCTCCAAGGACTGGTCCCTCCTGGTCAAGTGTCCAAAGTTTGTGAGATAGAGCTTCAAAATCCTAGCCTTCAAGACAGACCTATTTGTTTTCTTGGCCGTCCATGATATGTTTAAGACTCTTCTCCAGCACCACAACTCAAAAACATTGATTCTTCTTCTGTCATCCTTAGTCATTATCCAGCTCTCTGAAGCATAGCAGTAATTGCAAAGACCATGGCCTGCATCAGGAGCGCCTTAGTTTCTAGACTGACATTGTTGCCTCTCAGAACTCGGGAGAGGTCCCTGACAGCTTATTTCCTGACTGCTGTCAGGGTGTTAATTGTGAAGCCAAGTTAAAGTTGTTGACAGTTTCAATCTCTTCTCCATCCATCAAGATGTTGCCTATCGGTCAAGTGGTAAGAATCTTTGTTTTCTTGACACTGAGATGCAATCCATACGGAACGCTGTATTCTTTGATCTTCTGAAACAAGTGCTTCAACTCCTCCTCACTTTCAGCAAGCAAGGTTGTGTCATCTGTATAACATGGGTTATTGATGAGTCTACCTCCAATCCTAATGCCACATTCCTCTTCATAGAGTCTAGCTTCTTGAATAATTTGCTCATCATACAGAATGAATAGGTACGGAGAGTGGACACAACCCTGACACACTCCTTAATTTTAAACCATAGAGTTTTCCCCTGCTCTGTTCTCATAATAGCCTCTTGGTCCAGGTATAGGTTTCACATGAGCACAATTAAGTGCTCTGAGATTCCCATTCTTCTCAATGTTAGCACAACTTGTTATGATCCATACAGTCAAATGCCTTTGAAAAGTCAATAAAGCTCAAATAAACTATCCTCTGAAAGCAATAAAGCATCACAATTGCTAAGACCCACCTATGCTAAAGTGGATTGAGATATACATGGAAAATCATGCACCGGTAAATGTGCTGTAACATTTGAGAAATGGGGGGGGGGCGGGGGATAATGATGAGGACTGAGAGTTGAGGTTAATTGGTTAAGTGCAATTAAAGAACTCAGGGCATGGTATGAATGCCAGAAGGCAGAGTTTGAAGAAACTCTTGTGTTCTGTGCCTGGAGGGCAGGACTGTGCTGAAAATTAGGCTCAAGACCCTATCAACAGAGCAGCTGAATTGTTAGAAAGGCTGAATTTATAATTCTGGCAATTTTCTTACATCTAAGTTAAGGTCTTAGGAAAGGAGCGAGGCATAGAGACATGGAGTAGGGACAATCAGGTGGAAATTTGAAGTTCCTCCACACAAAAAGTCCACTCTTCTTTGCCAGAGGAGAATGGCTCCACTTCTGACCATGCAAACATGAGGAGGGTGGTTTATGTGATGATTCTTGCCCTAAACGCCTCATTGACCTTAGGTTATTAGAGATTATCTATCTGGGGACAGATTTTCCCCTCTTGTGAGAGAAACATTTCTTCCTTGAAGAAGCCTGAAGACTTGGACTTATGTAAATCAGTTTTTATCTGAAGCATATGCTTGAGGGGGTTGGACTGGGATGAAGTGGGAGGGTGGCAGGATTTAAGAATACATAAGATGCTATTGATGGAGGCATTCTGGGACTGACCATCCTCGTAAGAACATCTGCATCTGGTCCTAATACACTGCTGGGATGACTCCTTACATTTTGGGGAGCATGATGGCCTATGTTCACGAGGAAGAAATGGCTTGATGGCTCTGGTAGGGTATCAAAGAGCAAAAGGTGCTGACAGGTGGACCTGCTAGAATGAGTTATTACACACGACCACAGAACTCACTAGCTGTCTGTTCACTGGGAGTGGACACTCTACTAAAGTAAGAGTCACTAGTGAGGGATACCCACATCGTAGAAAACTTCAGTTGTGTCCATTTTTTGTAAGCTAGAGTTGGTGACCCACAGGGGAAGCATCTGTAAATCAGGCCTATCTCATATTAGGGGAGTTTATGGGGCTCTGGAATAGCAGAGACTGTGAAAGTCTGCTGTTAGGGACCTCTCCAGGGTACTGAAGAGCAATGGTGTCACTTTGGAGACTAAGGTACGTCTGATACAGGCTATGGTCTTTGCAATAACTATGGTCATGCATCAGAGAGTTGGACAATGACTAGGGAGGATAGAAGGAGAATTGATGCCTTTGAGCTGTGGTGCTGGAGAAGAGTATTGAATGTACCCTGG